GAATTGTCCAATTTACCATCAGCATACTGTGTCACAGTATACATTGAAAGATGAAGAGATTTGACAACTCCGGAGAGCTGCAGAAATTACCTTGGATAGGGTAAGTGAAGGTGGAAGCATTATAGACTTTATCTTCAAGAGGCACCTTTCTGTCATATCCCTTTCTCTCTTATCAGTGCTTAGAAGTCTTCTGTACAAGGGAGGGGTCCATATATGTGACGAGTCTCTCATCATTTCTCCAAGTTGAGATGCTATTTTCATTACAGCCTGAAAGAGAGAATGCAAATTGTCTGTAACATCAGTATAGCACAAATCTGGCATCTTATAAGGGAACTACAAATTTATTAGCATGAAAGAAATGCATTGGTTCACATAAAAACATTTATTTGATTTCTTTAATTAGGAAAAATGGCTGTGCAATTATTTTGTTTCAATATATTATACGCAATAGGATCTTAAACCAAAACTTCAATGAGCAATGCTATGCTGGTCATATATCTAGTTGTTTATTAAATACAGCAACATTGAATTCGATCATTATTGTTTGGTCATGCTGCCACATGTAAGAAATGCAGCGGTATCAGCGTGCACACATCCGATGGAGTCACAAAAGGTGCATAAAAAACTCAAATGCTCTACTTGTTTAGAACCAATATCAGTGGAAAAGAGAAGTTTTGACCACTTCTCACCAGATGGAAACAATTTAAGCTGAAGTGTGTGTCAGCTCAACGTTCTTCTCATTTCCTTTAATATACAAGAGAGATAGAAGGAGCAACTAGGAAATAATTGAAAATGCCTAAGTCACTCATTTCTGTGCTTAGAAATTGGAATAACTTCAGAACCCAATATAGGTGGCCAAAAAAGTAGTTGACCATTTGGCTGAAAAAAAGAGGAGTTGACTAAGAGACAATTGGAGATGGCTCTGTCTCTCGAGGCCCTTTTTTTTTTGCTGGTGATGGATGGCGAAACCATTTTTCTTAGGAGAAGGAACCACGGAAGTAATTCAGTTTCAGTTAATTGTTAAAGCATACCAGTTGAGTAAAACAACATGACAATGGATTTTATACAATCCATCATAGAACATCCCCTGTGAAGGTAAATTGCTACAAGAAACTTTACCTGAATAGCCTCAAAAGTTGTTGAAAGTGACCCAAAAGGGTTGTCGAGTGCATGAACGATGGCTTTCAACAAAGACTGGAAATGGGCATTCAGCAGAGACCCATCAAACTGCTGCATAGATATACACCACATACCGAGGTTGCAGACTGACTGCGGCGACGAAACAGACATTCCGCTTAAAACTTTGAGGGGCAAGAATTTGATCATAAATATGTAAGTTACAGCACAGTCTACCTTCATTTTAGCAGTGATGATGACATTAGCCAGTGACTCCAAGACTCCACCAGCAACACCCACTGCAATACCAAGAAATGCCATTTTTTCTCCATTCAAGACATAAATTCCAATTTCATCCCAGATAGCATCAGTAGAAAAAAAAGGGGAGATTGACGAAGAGTCACCAGGGATGGAAGCAAGAATCGTGGGGTGATGTATCATGAAACCCAAACACTTCATGGCCTGGACAGCACTACAGTTCAAGAAAACAAAGAAAGAGTTAGAAACACGACATGTTACCAGACAAAAATAGACCCTTATATTTCCCCATTCGCTCTGAAACATTGTGCAAACAAACACAGCATGACCAAACCAATAACTCTAGTACTTTACTCTTTTCTCTTAAACAGTGCTTCATTTCTAAGAGAGAGAGAGAGGAGCAGCAGCAGCAAATTTAAAGCTCGATCCGGCCGGGTATCTGCAGTGCAGTGATTTAACCGGACCCTCCCCTTCTTCAATCATCCAGGGTCGTGAATTTTCGCAAAAATCAACAAAAAGGAGCGAGCTGAGATAAAAGGAAGGAAAAAAACCCACGTTTCTTCGTCTTCTTCGCGGACATCGGCGACGAGCAGCGAGATCAGGCCGCGAGAACGACCGGCGAGTGCTCGAATCCCATCGGGGTCGGAAACCGACCGTTCTTGGAGCCGCAAAAGAGCGGCGTAGGCGAGCGGCTTGCCGGCTCCGGCGTCCGGCGAGCCGAGGATCCGGGCGATCTCGTCGAGCTCGGCGGAGGAATCGGGCATCGCGGCGACGACGGAGAAACGGTCGAAAGATTGCGGATTTCGGAAGAGGCGGAGCTTCGGGTTCGGCGATGCTGGGCGGCAATGGAGGCACAAATTTTTAGCGCCAAGCGCATCAACGAAGCTGGGGTTGGCGGGAGCACGAAAGGTTGGGGGGAAAGAACAACATTTGTGCCAAAACTTGTGTACGGAGGCCGCTTTGGTGCCAAAAATTTCATTTGGATCACTTAAGTGTCAAATCGGAGAAAAAACGATCACTTAAGTGCCAACGGCGAGAAATTCCGATCAAATTTAATACGTGACTTTTATATTTAAATTTTAATGACACGTGACATTTCCATATGTACAATTCAATTTTTTTAAAAAAAATTTCTGATTTTCTTCTTTCTTTTCTTTTTTTTCTTTTCTTTCTTCTTATTTGCGATGGCCGGCGTCCAGCCACCGGCCACCTACCATCGGCCACCGGCCATGGCCGGCCTCGCCGGGCATCGCCTTCCTCCGAGCGAGGCCCGGCGAGGCCGCCGTGGCCTCAGCGAGGGCCGGCCTCGCCGGATCCGGGCGAGGCAAGCCTCGCCCGGGCGGGCGAGCCCCGGCGAGGGCTCGCCTCGCAGATCCGGCGAGGCCGGCCCTCGCCGAGGCCACGGCGGCCTCGCCCGGAGGAAGGCGAGGCCCGGCGAGGCCGGCCATGGCCGGTGGCGGGACGCCGGCCATCGGAAATAAGAAGAAAGAAAAGAAAAAAAAAAAGAAAAGAAAGGAAAAAAGAAAGAAAAGGAAAAAAAAAAAGAAAAGAAAGGAAAAAAGAAAGAAAAGGAAAAAAAAGAAAAGAAATGCCACATCAGCCTCCGGCGAGCCACATCGGCCTCCAGCGAGCCACATCGGCTTGAGAAATTAATAAAAAAAATGCCACGTCCGGCGAAGTGGCACTTAAGTGATTGTTTTTCACAACTTTTAGCATTTAAGTGATCCGATTGAAAGTTTTGGCACCAAAGTGGCCTCCGTACACAAGTTTTGGCACCAATGCTGTTCTTCCCCCAAAGGTTGGGTTTTTATAGTTCGATAGTTTTCTTTTTATTCATTTCTTTTTTTTATTTTTTAATTATCCATGTTTTTTTTAGGGAAGGGGAAGAAAGAGAAAACATTTTGGAATTTATTTTAGGAAAAATGACACAAATGATCATTGAACATTGACTCAATGTGCAATGTGATTCCTGAACTTCTAATTTATTTAATGTGGTCTCTAAACTTTTGGTACGTGTTCAAACCAGTACACGGGTTATATGAAAATGTTTAACGTTAGCACTGAACTTAAATTAATGAAATGATAACATTTGACATTTTCATATAATCTAGGGACTAGTTTGAATATTTACCAAAAATTGAGAGATCATATTGAACAAATAAAAAATTTTGGAAGGACATTACACATTAGCCTAAAGTTTAGAGACTACATTAAACAAAGTAAGAGTCTAGGGATCACATTGCATATTGAGTTAAAGTTCATGGACCATTTGTGTCATTATCTCTTTGTTTCACGACCCATTAAGTTCGCGAAAATGCTTTCCGGTCCTCGTTTTTCCGTGGAAAAATTGGAAGGATAGCATTCAGCCTAGTTTTCTCAAAAAACCAATTTATTCGAAAAAATAAAATTATGAGAACGCGTTTGATGTGGTGAATCCAAAATTAAGCGGCATGTTTTCACTATAATAATAGATTCAACCGGGTCCTTCGTTCGGGATAAAAACTTCGAAAATAACTTCTGTTTTTTCCCATCGTTATTACAAAAAGATGGAAATAATTATTATTAATTATTGGAACAAGTACCACCAAACCTTTTTAGGTCTCGTTTGGTTCCACCGGCAAAAAATAAATCCACAAGTGAATTATCGTTCCTGGTAATGGCATTCCGTGGAAGAGTATGTTCTTTCAATTGTTTTGGATGACTAAATTGTGATTCTCTAAATTAGGCCTCTAGGGTAGTAATGCTTCTTCAACCACTGAACATGACGACCTACTCATCTTCAATAAGTATTAATGAAGAAAAATTTGGAAATAGCTTATCTCTTACTGTCCATTCGTTTAGCGAAAAATAAATTGGAAATTATTTTCAATCGTTTGGAAAGAAGAACGTGCTGTTATTTTTCTAAAGGGACGTGTACTTTTCGTGTGATATAAGTGCTGCATTTGCTATATCATCAAATATTAGAATATTTATCGAATTGAATTTTCATAATACAAATACCTTTATAGATTGTAAAAAAAATATATTTTTTCCTCTTATGGAATTCCGCCTCAGACGCTTAGGTCTTGGGCCCAACCTCGGGATACTTGGGCTTAGGCACCAAAATCCTGGACCCAACCACGAGGAACCCGAGCTCAACCGTCAAGGTCCTTGGGACTTGAGCACGATCATCGAAGACCTAGGCATGGTCACCTAGGTCTCGGGCTCAACCTCGATGGACTGGGACCGGGCCCGGGCCCGGGCGCCGGTGACTTAGGTGCGGGAGCTGTATACTCATCACATCCACAGTAATTAGTTGTGTGCAAGACTTTAACTCTTTCCTAAGGCAAAACATCGCAAGACAAAACTCCTCCCCATATACTTGATAAGTTCTCTTGTCGCGTGCGACAGTTTTAAGGAACCAAATCATAAATAAAACTTTGGTTAGTTTTTCTTTTCTTCCTTTAACCCAAGTATCTAGAGCTACTTCTGAAGTTTACAAGCACATAAACTAGGCAATAGAAAGCTTTTACATGGTTATGTCTGGAACTAGTACTTCTCTATGCAACTAATTTTTAGCAAACTCAAACGATCTTGTATTGTTGGAATTATAAGAAGCTGGACAAAAAATTGATGCAAATCTGAGAGAACTTGAAACAAAACTATGATACTGACCTTTTTAAATATGTGAAATTGCAAATACGACACGTTCCTAACCCTCCAACCTTGTTCAACCATCTGTTAATATTTGACAGGTCCTCTGAGATGGAACGGGGTGAAGATAAACTACAAGCAACCCCGAAAGAATCTTAAGATGAAGCTCTACTCTTCCACTGCCAAAGTTCTAATGGTACCTTCAAATCTTCAGAAACAACTCGATTCAATCCTGTTTTGGTACTAGCCTCCACCCCCCACGATGGCGTCGCAAACTGCAGAGCACTTCAGTCACAGCTGAGGTAACAGACATTGATGTTATAAGTTTAAAGGACAGCAAATGTGCTTAACAAAAATTTAAGGACAGTTATATCTCACAGCAATTGTTATATTTTGACAGCTTATTTACTGCTATTAATCACCATTAGAATGAGGTATTGGCATGTGACATCTAGGACCTCCAGGATTAAAGAAATCCTTCCTACTATTCACAAAGCATAGAAAGCTGAAATGTTGTCAATTGAAAACCGAGCACAAACAGAACATACCGCTTCAGGCAGTTATGGGAAACTGGAAGGGCCAGCGTCCAACTTCACAAATTCTGTGCCTTGAACGAATCTATTCCTCTGACCAAAAAAAAAAAAGAAGAACAAATCTACTCCTCTTAAGTATCCAATTAAGGTCGAGATAGAAGCTGTTCCAGCTCTTGCTCGAAGTCTTCATCTTCTCTTTCATCTGGTTCCTCCTCCAGCCGATGCTGTACTAATTGTAATTGCTGCTGTTGCTGTTTTTCACCACCATGCTGATTGAAACCTATCTGGCGGTAAAGCATGTCTCTCTGCGCAGTCCAGTTTTCCTCAATCTTCGTCAGTTCATCTCCAATTGGTTTCTTGTCGTAAGCTATATGTTCTATGTTCTGAACATCGACCACCTCGCGAGCCTCTATAACAAGAAAATAAGTAGGACACAGCAGAAAATTGATCAAAGGGAGAAAGGGGCAATAAAGGCACATTGTAGTTCAATGATAATCTAATGCAATATATATATATATAGAAAAGTTGATAGAATGAAGCTTTGAGGTGCTTGTAGTGAGAGGAGCAGAAAAAGGTCAGTCACATGTACTATGAATCACACGCTATCCCTGAAGAATTTTCCTATTGGGGCAAGTAGCTTCTCCCCAGACCTTTCAACTAAGCTAAATAACACAGTGAAAGAAAAGTGCTTGAAGGGGGAAAGGAGAAGTCCTTCATTTCATAGTTCCTCCTCTGCCTATCCGGTGTCATGGCAAGCTAGGGATTAATTTTCACCTAGGAAGTTTTTGCTCCTCTTCTGCTCGCCAAAGCAAATATAAACGACAAAGAATGATCTTTGAACACTACTACACGCACCCTCGGTTAGGTAAATTTGAGTATAGCAGGACTTGAAACGGCGACCACTAGATTAAAAGCCCTATGCTCTACCAATTGAAATATACATGGACACCACAAAAGGAATGTAGTACAGCCACATAACAAGAAAAGTTCATTAATTAGAGCAATAAAAAGACTAAATTACCCCACACATAGCGACTTTAATGTATAACCTTAATATATACCTTTCTCGGCCTTCTAGCTAAGATCAAATGTACAACCTCAATCTAATAAGTGTAATTTCTTAATATAGACGTATTTTGATACGGAATAGTTAGTAAAACTAAAATAACATATCAGAAATGTTACTTTCTAGCCAATTCTTCCTCTCATAATCTAATAGAACTCCGCCTTAATAATGTCCTATAAATGCAAATGTTCAATTTCAGTGATTTACAATATATATACCCCAAACAAAGTTCTGAATAAAAATCTTATGTTTATAAAGATAATGAATATGAGAGAGAGAGAGAGAGACAGAGAGAGAGAACCTTTAATGGCTCTTTTCTTGGCCTCGGCATATTCGTTTGACATATTCTTGACCATATCCATATCAATTTCCATACCCTGCCATTTATGAGAACAAAAGGGGTGCACTTTTTTAACGTCATACACCCGGAACATAAACAGACATCAATTTTATTTTGGTAGGGAAATAAGAGTTAGCTACCAAATCCATGTGAAGAAAATGCTCAATCCTTGTATTAGCAAATAACCTGCAGAAACAGCATAAAGATATGCAACCAATAGTCAGAGAATGCTTCTATTTTTTTACAATATCACAAACGATGGAAAAACAAAAATTGTGTGGTAATTTACTTCTTATAAGCTACTTGAACACGTGCGTTCTGTAGTTCCATGAGTTGGTTTACTCTTTCTGTAATAGAGCCTTCATTGATTTCAACAGCCCCAAATAGAAACATGTTCTTTTCCAGCATTTTCTTGACCAGAGGCGATACCACCGTTATTCCTTCAACTTTTGCACTAGCAACAAGATGCTTAAGATTCTTCAGCTCTCCTGATAAAAGGAAACAGATGTAAGCATGGGACAAAGTTGAAAAAAGGGTAAGGTGGTGGCAAATGAATGATAAGGAACTGTATAGCCTGAGAAGGGACAGTAGCTTGATCACTCAAAGCTTAAGCCAATTGACACAGATTCATAATATAAGAGAGGAAAGAATGTAATATCAATAAAGAGAAATTTTAAACCAATGACCACGTGAAACAGCTTTCACTGACCAACATCAGTGACATCATGACAGACACAAATATGGTAATAGACCCATTCTAATCTTTTCCCCTCAAGCATCAAAGGTTATTTAAGTGATTTATCCTTCTGCACCAGCTTAGAAAAGACTATTAGTATCAAACCAAGCCCCAATAATACGATTTCCTAGATTCTTGATAGGATTCAATATCCTAAAAACACCTGAAACCTACGCCCAATCCAAGAAGGCAGTGAACCATTTGAGATAATAATTAAACACATTCTAATATCCATCATACCACGTGACAGTGGAACAGCTCCAATACCAATAAAAATCGGTTAGGAAGTCTGACGTGACAGCAGAAGCAAAAAGACCAGTATTATTCATTTTGAAAGAAACGTAAGGGTCCAATCTAATTTTTTTTTTTACTTTGAGGTCTACTCAAAAACCAATGTCGGAAAGTTTTGTGGGGGTGGTTTGGTACAACAACTCAATTGACAATTTAATTAAAAACCAAGCTCAGCTTCTTCTGCAGATGATGAGTATCCAAGGAATTGATGAGCAAGAAACTACACAAGACTAGTAAAAAGAATTTCACTATTTGATGGTAGAACATCTTTAAGTAGCAACAAGAGCAAGCTCAAGTGAAGATTACTGCTATAAATTGATTGACATGAGCTCAAATCTATACTCTGTATGCTGCTTAACTCTTTGGATGGTGAGCTAGGAATATGTTAAGAAAGGGAAGAATTTTGAACCCTCTAGTTGTATGCCTAGAACTAGAAGTATCCCACCTTCCAGAAAGATTATTACCAGAGGCAACATGTACATTCACAAACAAAATTACCTATAAAAAGAAGTAAATCACAAAGAAGACAATCAAATTAAGCTATTGAGTAACAATCGTACTGTTTGCAAGGACAAAAGCAATTCTAATCCTAAAAGTAAATCTAGCTCCCACTTCCGTTGTTCAGGATAGAAGAAGGTGAAAGTCCCTATATCAGTTTAGAAGCCACAGCTAACACACATTAAGCTAAAGGTTCAAAAGGTCCCACGAATAAGGATCCTTATCCTATAAGGGTTTTTCTGTTCTTTTTAATTGATATTGACTTGTAAAAGTCAATGAAAATCCTCCAAGGATATCTTAAATTTATGGTGGTGCAGAGTGCATATACTTTCAAGTTATTGTTCTTTATCTTCTATATACCTCTGCTAAGCTCAGTTGCGAAGTGGGGAGAATATAAATGACTAACACTGAAAAGCTTGTCAAACAGAGCAGCTTAGCCAGACTAATGAAGTAGCTTGACCATCAGTACACAGACAAGTTCTAAGAAAAGGTTTAGGTTTTTCCTCTGCAAAGTAAGAACAGAATTTCGAAACAATAATAGGGGATCGAGCGCAGATAACAATTCTTTAAGATACACCAAAAGCAAAATCAATGTGATCACAGAATATCTTACCCAAAGAGAGATAAATTCTGTAAGGAGGTTTGAATGGTTGAGTCTCATAAAGACAGTAAAGGCAATACAGTCCACCTAACCGGCGAGATAGGGACTCTGAGCTGACCATGTGACCTGCAAAAACCCTATCTATAGTCATGGCCTTGTATGATTTTAAAGTAAACTCACAAGAGATGCTAGTAGTTCTTAAACTTTTCAAGTCACTAAGATGACACGTACAGGGAAACCAACAAGGTGCTAAACAAAGTACTTTTCACCCAAAAGAGAACAATCGTTAAGGCCAATTAAAGAATTTTCCAACATAAAACTGTTCAAATAGAGTCATCAACTTGCTTACAAAAGGTGAATCTTTTCAACACTCACTTAAATCCAAGTCTCGATTTTTCGGCTAAATCGAACCCAAGCAAATTACAATCCAGCAATGGATTCCTTGACTCAATGACCAACACCCCAACCATGTTGGAGCACCCGCCCCTGCAAGCCACAACCGTGAAAGCTTTCGATTTGGCAAACTATACCACCATTAATTCATTGAAATTTAGCAATATCAATCTGACAAAAGAAACGGAAAGGGCTCTCGCTCTCGCTCACCGATTGACTGAGAATAGAGCGTTTGCATGAAGAAGGTCAAGTTGGACGAAGGACGAGCCTCGTAAATGTAGGAGAACTTCCTCGACAGCCATACGCGCTTCATATCAGCCAAAGCCCTCGATCCGCCCTGCGCACAAAACCTCGCATCACCTCACAGAAGCTGAGAACGGAAGAGCCGTCCGAAATTACCTGAGCGAAATCGTTGATCAGTTCATCGACGTCCTGCTTGAACGAGGAGAGATCCATCGCGGTTAGATGCCGGCCCTTCGATGGGTCGAAAAGGCGACGAGCGCACTGCGCCGGCGAGCGCGACGACAGCTGTCCGTGCTTTCTTCGGCGAAGAGTCTCCACGGGAACTACGCCCGCCGTACAGAAATCGGAGACCTCGGAGAAGCGATTCCGCCGGCGGTGGGCGGCGAGCGGCGAGCGGGGAGCCGGCGGAGGGAGACGGCGGAGATCTGTTGGCGGGTGAATTTGAGCGGGTCGTCTAGTTTACCCGAGAGAGACGAGGGGGTCTGGTTTTTCGCTTTTTTTTGTTTTGCGGAAAGATTATATATTTTTAAAATTATTGCTTGTACCACTTATATAAATGAATGAACAAAAAATATTTGGACATAAATTATTATTAACAAAAACATTTTTCATTACGATACAAACGATTATTTATAGAAAAATATTTATTAAATTATCTATTTTACGCGAAACAAACGCTTTTTGAAATTTTATGTTCCTGAGTATAACGTTGAAAAATCGCCACAACTACAAAATCGACAGCCTAAATTGATTTATAATAAATATATGAGAGCTAGGAGGTCGACTCGTGCATCGAGCATGGGATAATGTCGGAATTTGTCCCAACTTGCATTTGATGATACAGCTTGACAGACTTTGCTCGAAATGAGTAATAATAATGGCTCAAATCGAACACTTCGATCATGAGTATGAAAGTCTTATGATACCGCTTGAAGAAGTCACTCGCGTTAATCGTTTCGTCCCACCTTTTTTATTAATAAATAAAATTGAAAATTCTCGACAATTATGGGCCAAAATTAATACCTAGACTTTAGGCTGATAATTATTTCACGTAATTTATTTGTCAAGACTCTTCCCCCAATTTAACCAACTTTAGCAATCTTTTTAATAAAAGAGAACAATTTTAGAAAAATATTTTTCAAATTATATATTTTTTGCAAAACAAACGCACCTTTAAATGCACCAAAGCTATGTGAGCCAAGAGACACATAATCCTTGATTTTGGCGAGTCCAATGTGAGATCCACGAGATCTAAAGACTATGGCGAAGGTGAACTAGGTTTACATGCACCGGAGCACCCAATAACGACTTGGGAATACATCAGTTCAAAGCTAAAAGTTACCGGGAAGAGAAGATACACAACTGATACCTCCTGTGCTTTAAGTCCATGCTTTCAAGCTGAGACTCAATCTGCTGCAAGTAAATGGTAAGAAACTTGACACCTGAGAGCCCATCTCCAGTTGCAGAAAGTATTAGTTAAAAAAGAGTGTAAGGTGAACTAACCGAGGTTCAATGATCAAGCATCCAAATTCTAAACAATCCCACTCAATGGCAAAGTGGTATTCCGGGAGGCAAATTACAACCTATCAAGCCTAGATTTTAACACAAAGTCCAGATTGAGATGTGAGCTAAACCTACATTTCCACTTTCACAAGGGCGTTTGATATCTGGGACGAGCCGTACTGTAGCCAGTCCTTAGTGCACAACAGGGCTTCCACCGTGTCGGGTCGCAGGGAACACCTGTACCTATCCATCTCCTTAGGTGCGGTATCAAATACAGAATCGGGAAGAACAGTAGACACTGGGATGGACAGGATGTCACGAGCCATTTTAGAGAGGGTCGGGTATTTCAGCTTGTTCAGCTTCCACCACCCTAACACATCAAACTCTTGCACTCGAGGCAACAAAGTTTCATCCAGATACTGGTCCAGCTCCGACTTCATCTGCTGGCCACTAGTCTCCATGATATACATATCGAAATCAGTCAGTCCATGGTCTGTCAGAAGATGCCCTCCTTGAGGTGATTCCTCCATCTTGTTTCCATTATGCCCTTCTTCCGCGTAAGTGGGCGTCAGAGGCAATGGAAGCGAAACATATTCGAGAAACAGCTCGTGGATGCCTTCATCAACTATCTTCACATAATTCGGAGCATCTTCACCAAACACTTTAGTGAAACTGAACTCAACAAGCTTCATCTTGAACCGAGGATCCATGACCACAGCCATGGCCAAAACCAGGCTGCAGTCCTTCCAGTATTTATCAATCTTTTCAAGCATCGGCTTGGTAAGATCAGAGATGAAGGGATCCTCACTTGTGACTGCACGAGCAAGATCTGCTTGTATCTTCCACACTTCATGAAAGAATATAACTGCAGTAGGGCTGGTGGTGGTCGTAAGTATACTTGCTGCTTCATAAACTGGTTTTAAGTAGGTACAGAGGGTTTCCACCTGCTTCCACTCTTCCAGTGTTGGGGCTTGCTTGTAATCGGGATCGGAGGTATCTAAGCAAGAGAAAACTTCCTTCAGCTCCGAAGCAGCCACCAGCATTTCATATGTTGTGTTCCACTGAGTTTGATCATCTAAAGAAAGGCTTCTCTCGCTTGGAACTTGCAGCTGTTGCTTGAGATCTATGAACTTTTCCTCATGTGAGTCTGATGTCTTCACGTACTTTACACTGTTCCGTATTTTCTTTACAATTCCTTCCCCTGCCCCAAGTACATCTTTCGCCACAGCAGTCAAGGTACGTGCAACGCAATTGCTGATCAACAACTGACCATTGAGAATATGTGGGTTCTTGATAGCAAGAAAAGGTTTTAGATTTTCACGTGCTGCTTCAGTCAGTGGCTGATTAAAGGTAACAGAGAACAATTTACTCTCCAGATTCCAATCAGCAAGACAAGTAGCAACTGCATGACTTAATGCAGAAAACGGCTCCATTACAATATTGAGAAGCCTGCGATGCATCTTCCAGTCACTATCCATGAAATGGCCAGTCAGAAATAGATAACCCAAACTTTGACTAGAAGTCCAAATATCGACAGTGAGGCAAACTCGTCCTGGCATTCCCTCGATGAACTTCATCACACCTTGCTTTTCACATAAATAAGTTGCTACACAGTCACCTTGTACAGCATTAAAAGAGACCAGATCGAACCGTGGTTGAAGGTTCTGGACAAAAGTCACAAACCCAGGATGCTCAACCATGTGAAGTGGGTAGTCATGCATTATAATCATCTTAGCAATCTCATGGCGACACTGGTCCTGGTCGAAAGATATGAGAGGGACAGCAGAAGTTCTATAGCGACGTTTAGGAGGATCAGAACCCATTCTTCCAGGTGCAGAGTATGGTGTGATCTGATTCTTGTCTTGGTTACGTAGAAGAGCAGGACAGGTGCCCTTAGCAATATGACGTTTGAGGTGGCTGGTGCCAGCAACCTTTGAGCCTGTACTATAAGCAAAACTTTGCTTGCACTGCTTACAGCAAGCCCTTCTACATCCAGGACTCACGGTTTCTATTGTGAAGTGTTCCCAGACGATGGACTTCTTTTTTCTCCGCTTGTTGGGCTGTGTTTCAGGAGTTTTCACATCGTTGTTTTCTTCTAGGGTCGCCATCTTCTATCTAAAAACAAATTCCTGCCCAATAAAGTCAGAGATAAACAACAAAAGAAAAAGGAAAGGTATGGAAGAGAAGGAGATTTGCAATATTTTGACAGAATAAGGCAGATATATTACATAAATCACTGATGAATGGGCTTGCACCAAATATTAAAGTAAGATGGACAGAAGAACTGTACAAAAATTAAAAAAACTTCTATAAAAATTGACACGACAGTGGCCAATCATAGGGAATTGATAAATTAGCTTTCAACATGATGAGGAGAGTTTAGAAATGTTAAGCTAGAAGCGAAACATCATATTCCGCTTTGTATTGCATTATGTAGGTCACGTATCCACTATGGTGAACATTCCTGCATAAAGTCCACAGCAGAAGCACTCCAAAAACTCAAAGGCAGACTATTCAGAGTACCTGCATTTTATACTCAGGAAACACAATCTAGTAGTAGCTTTAACATTTGATACCTCATCTCACAGATGCAACAGGAGTTATCTTGGTTGGTGGTTGGTCATCTATGTGTCAAGAAAGAACCAACTTGCGTCGGCCTCTGTCTTAGTTATAGAATTCTAACCCTCGATCTGGCTGAAAAGTGCAAACAACAGTAGGCTAATGAATCTTTTTCGCAAGCTAATTCAACTTCTCATAGTCAACTTACACACAATCATCATGTACAGCCAAAGACCTTACATCTGAATGAGAAGGAAGGGAACTACACAAATCACCTTAGTCTCCTAGATATATCAAACACGAAAAAGCATCCAAGCAGAAAGAAACTCTAACTATTGAGCAAAGGGAAAACTCCAAGCATTTATCCCAATTACAGAGAACCAACCGAAAACAGAAGTGAAAGTACCGCGATTGCTAGTGCCCTTTTTTCAGTCATTGAAACAGAAGTAAAAGCTTTAAGGCATCCATTGGCATCAAACTTGCACATGCCACTTTGCACTTTTCGGTCAATTGAAAAATCTCAGAATGTACTACACAAAATTCATTAAAAAGTCTACCAGCAAGCAGGGCAAGAAACTATCCCTCTCCACTATATCTTTCTTCAAATTCAATGAGTCTCGTTCATGTCGATGGTATCTCCCACTCCCCACTCATATGAATCTTGATCACTGCCTTAGTCCTTGGCACTTTGAATTATTAACAGGTCATGGTAACAGACAACGTGACATGTTCAGTGTCACGCCCTCCTACAGCTTACAGGTCAACAAGTAGACTAGCATTCATTGATTCTTTGGGACAATATCTCATGTCAGTGAGACATGAGTACATCTAAGACATGTAGTTATGTTTCACCATACAGAGTAGGCAAGCCACCAATTTTCAGACAACGGAAACCAAAACACACAGCGATTTCACGGAAAACAAAGCATACAGTAATTTCTATAATAATTCGAGAACGACGAGTTCATCCATTCCTCCTTGTGTACCCACATTCCCACCACCGATCTTCTCATAGACTAAATTAGCTACCAAATGAAAACGAATTCCACAGACTAAAATTGTCCCTCCTTGTACCCATGAGCCACACAAAACACATGCATAGCCAGTAATATATCATACCCGTTTCCTCTAAGTCGGCATCTTCAGATGGTTATGTCTTGGAAGAAAGGAAGAAAGAAATTAACATATCTCTAAATATCATGTCTTGACAAGTTAACTGAACTAACGTCTTCTTCCTTTTCCTTCCGCATCTTTTTTTTTCTTCTCTTTTTCTTTTTCTTCCTTCACTTATAGCTGCTAACGTTAAAAAGTTGGGCCACACATTCCTCACTCAGCCCTCTATAAGAGGGGTCGCCGACTCCACCAGGTTTCAGACAACAGGCCCTCACAGGCTAGCATCCTAAACAAAACCCCCCTTGGTGCGTCGGGCCGGCAGCAACCAAAGACCACCCACTCGTGTCATTCACTTCCGCTTCCAGATAAAAGAGAGAGGGACACCCAGTGGAGCAACGAAGCTGGGTCTAATCCTTCTTGGGCCCAAGCAAAGCCGAACAAGCCCAAGCCCGATCACCACCTAGTCCTCCACACCCACCAACCACACAGACCCCGACCCTCTCCAGCTTAAACTCGCTCCCTCTTCTCCTATGGCTCGGGAACAATGTCAAAGCAAACCCCGGTCCTTTTAAGGTTTCACCATCGCCTTCGGGCTCAAAATAGCTTTCGGGTAGAAGAAAACAGACCGCTGAGATGAAAACAGATCTAAGCGCTCGATTCGAGCCTGGACTCTTTTCAACGAAAATCGAAAAACCAACCGGAACCAGGCTCTTATACACTGTATTCTTGCAGCCTCCCTGGGCTTTAAAACTTGGACGAACGAAACGAAACGAAAAACAAAAAGGGTCGGACGATCGCAGATCCGACGCCCCGAAGCTGCGAACGAGCCAGAGGGACTCGACTATAAACCCAGAACGAATCCGAATCAAACACGAGCCAAATCCACGAGCAACGACGCAACACACGAACCCAAAAAAAGAAAGGAGGAGAAGAAGTCCATCGACAGGGAAAGGAAAGAACGAAAAACAACGACCGATCGTCATCAGGTAAAACAGCATATCCAACAGCAACACGAAGCAAACCTCAGACGAGAAACCAAAGAACAGTAAAATCACAGAGAGAGAGAGAGAGAGAGAGAGAGAACGGAAAGAGGGGGAGCCCGACGTCAGCATCCTTACCGGTGCCGGGAGGACGAGGTCGATCCGCGGCGAGGGGCGATCGGGGGGGTCCGGTCGCCGATGAGCTGGGCCTCGCAGATCTAGGGTTTCGTCGCGGTCGCGCGCAGAGAGAGAAGGGGAGGAGAGAGGAGGGAGAGGGATTGGGCTTGGGACCCGAGAACGAGATGTGCAATTGGACCGTTCAATAGGGTGGTGGGATGAAGAGTTCGGTCGGGATAAGGTCTCGCGAGCGGAGCGAAGACTTTGGGTGGGACAAAACCGCGATGATGGCCGGGTGGGTTCGATTGGACCTCTCTCTCGTGTTTTTTTTTATCTCTTTCGTCTCCTCGAGAGGTCCAAATGGCTACATGAATTTCGATTCCTTTACCTCCTCCTCCTCCTTCCTTGGTTACAAGACTTTAGAAATTGGACCATCCAAGAAAAGGCCCAGCCCTAATTCTCATTTTTATTTACTTCATGTTTTTATATATATGTGTGTGTGTAGATATTAGAAGAGACAGAGAGAGAGACAGAGAGAATTGTGCTAGTTTTGAATTGTAATGGGTAAAAAGGCCAATCAATTTTTGGCCCACTAAAGAGATATAGCCCTAGTGCTCCAATTTAGGGGCCTGCTTGGGTTTTGGATTTTCCTTCATGCTTTTAAAACTCTTTTTTTTTTTTTGGGGGGTGTGATCAGGCTAATACATGCTATGCTGCTAAGTGCTGATTTTGGGAGCAGAGAAGAGGAGACTTGGTGGAAAAGGAAAAATTAGGGAAGCGGGGAAACCGCCGCCGCCTTCTCGTCGCCCTGACTTCGTACCGTTCCGGATAACGAAGAGGGGGACCGGGTTTTCCAGCCCCGTTTTTTTCTTTTCATCTATATCTTATGGACTTTTCGTCCTCCTTTTTGTCGATTTTGAAAAGGCCTTTTCGGATGAAATGACAGTGAAAAGAGTTATATTCTCCGATAAAAAAAGGATGGGAGTATTTTCCCTTTCTTCCTTAAAAAATTATGTCGAAATAATAATTTAAACGAATGAAAATGTATTCAAAAAACAGTGGATCATGATGGTGGCGTCTATAATTTGTAATCCTCCTTTCTTCCTTAAAAATAGAGATTTTAAAAAAACAAGGAAAAATATTTTCAATCAGTAGATATTTTCAATTATTTCCGCAATTAATTCATAAATATTTATCCTCAACACGTCAAGTCAATATTATCCTCAGCAAGTAAACTATTTATAACACGCATGATTCATCACTAGTATTCTAAAAACAATGAATCTTCATGCTAAGTACAATTAATATGCCAAGAAAAGGGAATAGGCCTACGGCTTACAAATGCCAATAGGGATCCAGACGACTCGCCATGCTAAAAAATTAGTATTTAGATAAGGGATTAGTGCATTCAAAGTCCTAAAACTTGTCACGAAAATGCAATTGAGTCCTAAAACTTTCAAAAAGTGCAAACAAGTCCTAAAACTTGTCACGAAAGTGCACTTGAGTCCTAAAACTTTCAAAAAGTGCAAACAAGTCATAAAACTTGTCACGAAAGTGCAAACAAGTCCTAAAACTTGTCAAATTGATTCAATCAAGTTCTTCCATTGATTGTACTTTTTGAAAGTTTTAGAACTTGTTTGCACTTTCGTGACAAGTTTTAGGACTTGTTTGCACTTTTTGAAATTTTTAGGACTCAAATCCACTTTTGTGATAAGTTTTAGGACTTGTTTGCACTTTTTGAAAGTTTTAGGACTCAACTGCACTTTCGTGATAAGTTTTAGGACTTCTAGTGTACTTATCCCTTTAGATAATACTCCTTAGAAATTCTTAAAAAATAAGGACACTAGTAGCGACAGTATACATCGCCCGATTTATTGTGAATAATTTACGGCGATCACTTTGATGTCAAAACTTTTCATGATGATTCATTTAAGTGATAAAGGACAATTTAATTTGCCTAAGAATTCTATATGATATCATTATAAAAAAATAACTTATCCAATGTGACTCGACAGATAAATTTTCCCTTTGAAATATATACCTAGGCACATTATTTAATGATTATTTCCCCAAATTATTTGCCATGTAGGATCTGTAAATTATCAGAAAAAGCCACATGGCATCCTCATATCCACCAATAAGGATCGACTTCAACATATCAAATAGACAATCAACCGACCTCACAGTATCATGAAGGACGATTTCTTTAAATTTCTTCGAGTATGGTTGGTACAGCTGCAGCTAAAAAGCCAGACTGTGTCGAAATGCATCCGTTTGGCGACACATTTTCCAAAGGATTTTCTATTGTGGCCACGATTAATGCGTTTGGCAAAAGTTACTATTAGATTACCGTGATTATCGACAATGACGAAATCCGTATAGGTCCATTGTGCGGCTCCTTGGGTCTGACCCTAGAGTGTTCACTTGGAAGTTGTAGCACAATTGCGGGTCACACGCCGCAAACTTCTTGCAAGAGGTGACGACGATGTCACTTTCGGGTCGGGGCACGGTGGAACATTAGGAGCGTTGTGAGTGTGATGAAGAACGGACTAGTGATGGAATATCTTCATCTTTATCAACGTTTCTTATGGAGATATTCACGTGGATCGTTTCAAATGGAGACATCAAAGTGGCCCCTTCTGCTACGCGCCCGAAAATGTAGGATAATAAGAATTAGAAAGATATGTTGCCAAAACTTACTTTTGCTCTGGAGGCAAGCTACTTCACTTTTGTACATTAATTCAAAAACTTAGAGATAGAGCCTGAGACTATAACACTCAACCTTGACTGGTAGATGATGTTTCAGTGCATTTATGGTAACGATCCCAAAAATGTGCAAGCATGTCCACCAAAACAGGCTAATATCCTATATTCCGTACGGTGCTCCTTTCCATGTTCCAATTTCAATCATTGATTCGAGGAAATGAGGTTGTTATCGCGGTCAAGATTTATCAAATGTGGAGATTTTTTTATTTATATCATCATATTTTTGGCTTTTCGAGGACGATAAAACCTAAACCCTAAGCCCCTCACCAATCCACGTTGAAAACAGAACTTCTTTACCGCTGATAACATGGCAGGTGCCCCTTCATTCTACATCATCTCTGTGATTTCCCAAATGGCAATCGGTTGTTCATTTAAGCCGGTGGGAGATGCTGGCCATGGTTGCACTCTTCACAAGACAATGCTCAGAACCTCCCTCCTCTTCTGCACAAGTCGCTTACGCACGCCTTAGCCATTTCCGGCTCCGGTACATGCTTCTGTTCTGCAGCCTTCGCCTCCCTCCCCAGCATCTCTCCTTCCCTTACTCAATGCCTCTTCCATTTCTCTCTCCTTCTCTCCTATGTGAATAGGGAACCCTATTGCTCTATATTCCGATACCAATGCTTATGGGGAAAATTGTCCAAAAAGTTCTAAACTTATTAACATTTTGCCAATTCAGTCATAAACCTTTTAATTGTGTTAATTGAATCATAAATTTATTCACGTTTTGCCAATCGAGTCCATCCGATCAATTTTGGTTAAAAATCGCTGACGTGAACGTCGGTACTAACGTGGAGTATTCTAAATAATATTTTTTCCTTATTATTTCTTTTCTTCTGTTTTCCTTCTTTACTTTTTTTGTTCTTTTTTTCCCTTTTCTCTTCTCTTCTTTGTTTTCTTTTCTTTTGTCCTTTTCTTTTTCCCTTTTTCCCTCCGCTAGAGGAGGTCGTTCGACCTCAAGCGAGGGATGACTAGGCCTACGTTGGCGAAGGCAACCCTTATCTGGGAGAGCAAGGGCTGCCTTGACCTGAGGCCGGCGACCTCTGCCGGCTATCGATGAGGCCTTGCGATGGCTGGCAGAGGGCAACAGGGAAAAAGAAAAAAAAGAAGAAGAGAAAAGGACAAAAAGGAAAAAAAAAGTGAAGAAGGAAAAGATAAGAAAAGAAAAATAAGGAAAAATAAAAAAAATTAATGAAAGAAATTCGATAAAATATTAATAAATTATTAAAAATTATCCACGTCAACAACTACTGTGTCGGCATTCACGTCAATGATTTCTGGCCAAAATTGGCCAGATTGACTCATTTGGTAAATGGTAAAAAGGTTTAAAACTCAATTGACACAATTAAAAGATTTAAAACTACATTAGGAAAGATGCAATAGGTTAAGAACTTTTTGGATAATTTTTCCAATGTTTATCTGTATTATAAGAACTTTTGCAATACACCATTTTCTCCTTCGCCACTCCCAACTTCGGTACGTGTTCTTGTCTCTTATTCTTCGCCTCCCTCCCCAGCATCTTTCCTTCCTTCCTTAATTCCTCTTCTGTGTCTCTCCTTCTCTCTTCACTCCATACTTTGATACCAATGATTATGTCCGTATTACTAGAACTTTTGCAATACACCATTTTCACCATATAATAATTATGATGGTGTTGTCATTATCATAATTATTATTTCATTTATTGCTATTATAAAATTGATATATTCTTATTTGTTATTCTTTTAATTTTTTATAAAAAAGTTTGAAATAAACAACAACAGTAGAAATAATAATAGAATTAGGATCATTATTGACATTATAATTATAATCAGTTTTTTTTTCATTTTTCTCTTAAAAGATAATAGCTGCTGTAGAGGGTTGGAGGTGACGATGCCGTTGAGTCACATGGTTGGAGGATAGAGAAGAATTGAAATTAAAAATTGGAACTAAATAGATTGGAGGTGGTGGTGGAGAAGCTTTTTTTTTTAGTTAAAGAAAAAAAGAGAGGAGACACTTAGAAACGTATATATGTGATGATAAGAGAAGGGTCGCGCTAAATCCATCCCTAAAATGGCTCCATCCACCTCTAGAAAATTTAGAGGATAGAATCACCCTTTTTATGGGTCACGTTCCTTCTCTATCTCTCATTAGCTCATTGCATCTCTCTCCTTCTCTCCTCCTCGATCCTTTCTACTCATGTGCGCCTCTACCCTCACCCGCCAAATCTCGCCGCTTCGAGCTCAAAGCCTGCATTGCTCGGGTCGAGGTCATTCAACCAAAATCCTTCTTACTGTTTGCTTGGCATTCCAAAGTCCAAGAGGATGTAATGCAATTGTGGATGCTTTGTGATTGGGCATTCTCCAATTTTGACTCTATTGGTGACTTCCATGCTGAGAGTTTAATTCTAGTTGTTTGAATAGATA